GGTTTAGGGTTTAGGGATTAGGGTTTAGGGTTTAGGGTTTAGGGTTTAGGGTTTAGGGTTTAGGGTTTAGGGTTTAGGGTTTAGGGTTTAGGGTTTAGGGTTTAGGGTTTAGGGTTTAGGGTTAGGGTTTAGGGTTTAGGGTTAGGGTAGGGTTTAGGGTTTAGGGTTTAGGGTTTAGGGTTTAGGGTTTAGGGTTTAGGGTTTAGGGTTTAGGGTTTAGGGTTTAGGGTTTAGGGTTTAGGGTTTAGGGTTTAGGGTTTAGGGTTTAGGGTCCTCCACCATGGGATGTTCCCCCTTATGCGAAAAGTCCTTAATAGGGACTCTCATTAGGCACTATACTTCCCATGTCACAGCAGGTAATCCCTTCTAAATCCTGAGCCAAGAATCCTAAACCCTAAGCCCTGAACCCGCAACGAACCCTGAACCCTGAACACTAAACGCCCTGAACCCTAGACCAAGAACCCCAGATGAATAAACCCTAAACCCTAAACCCTAAATTCTAAACGCTAAACCCTAAACTCTGAACTCCTAAATCCTAAGCCCTACACCCAAAACCCTAAACCCTAAGCGCTACATGTACCCCAAACCCTAAACCCTAAACCATAAACGCTACATGTACCCTAAACCCTAAACCCTAAACCCTAAGCCCTAAGCCCTAAACCCTAGACTACCAGCCCGAGCCTGCGCCTTGCGGCCATGCCGGGTCGCCCGGCTGCGTCCGGGAGTCGAGCCCTGCGATTAGGGTTTAGGGTCTAGGGGGTAAGGGTTTAGGGTTTAGGGTCTAGGGTGTAGGGTTTAGGGTTTAGGGTTTAAGGGTTTAGGGTTTAGGGTTTAGGGTTTAAGGGTGTAGGGTTTAGGGTTTAGGGTTTAAGGGTTTAAGGGTTTAAGGGTTTAAGGGTCTAAGGGTCTAAGGGTTTAAGGGTTTAAGGGTTTAAGGGTTTAAGGGTTTAAGGGTTTAAGGGTTTAGGGTTTAGGGTTTAGGGTTAAGGGTTTTTAGGGTTTTAGGGTTTAGGGTTTAGGGTTTAGGTTTTTTTAGGGTTTAGGGTTCAGGGTTTAGGGTTTAGGGTTTAGGGTTTAGGGTTTAGGGTTTAGGGTTTAGGGTTTAGGGTTTAGGGTTTAGGGTTTAGGGTTTAGGGTTGAAGCTTTGAAAGGTCCAGGGCTTAGAGTGCAGGGTTTGGGGTTTGAAAGGTTTAGGGCTGTGGGCGCCGGGTTTCGGGTCAACGGGTCAAAGTGTGGAAGGTTGCCCCACCCAAGCAATGCCCAGCCATTAACCCTAAACCCTAAACCCTTTACCCTAAACCCTTTATCCTTAAACCCCCAAACATGCATGGAGGCAGGCCCCATGTTGGCCATCCAGCGCAATATCTTCTGCTTGCTAAAGCCTACTGAGCCGACTGCAAAGTCCAGAAAGTTGGAACATGGTTCAAGGATGACTTGAGCTGGGAGTTCCTATACTACACCTTTTGGAATACAGGGACACCTGTTGGGGTATAGGGGGACAGACCCTAAACCCTAAACCCTTGTTTACTGAGTTTACTTTAAGTCCCAGAGACGAAAGCATGACAGGGACCCGGCAAAGGGACTTATGGAAGGGATGGTGTGCAGCTTCGATGAGGCCTCGCACAGGAGTTTTCTAGGCTGCCCAGTAACCTAGGCTTAAAAAGGGTGCCCGTTTTTGCTTACAGGGATTTATAAGGGAACCTAACCCCCCAAAAAGGGAATAAGGATACTACTGGGCATCCTAGTTTTTCTTTACTACCCCAACACATTCTCCTCGCCCGTCCCACCACCCGCTTAAATCAAGGCCCCAAGAACCTCGAGCAAGCAGTACAGGGTTTGCGGTTCGCGTTGAAGGTTTGAGGCTTCCTTTTAGGGACTGTGAAGTCCCTGAGCTCTGAGGTTTAGGGTTTAGGGTTTAGGGTTTCGGGTTTAGGGTTTAGGGTTTCCGGCTTGGGGTTTAGGATTAGAACCCGAAGGCAGGATAGCTAGGATAGGACCCCAATGATCCCTAAACCCTAAACCCGAAACCCTAAACCGATTTCCAGGGCTGGTGCTGGGTCGGACTGCCCCGAGAAGATCTCCATCGCTGGGTGCAGACCATGTCTGGGGGAGGCCTTCGGTTTAAGGTTTAGGGTTTAGGGTTTTGGGTTTAGGGTTTCGGGTTTAGGGTTTAGGGTTCGAATCTGAGCAGGGGTTTGTCTGGCTTGTTTATCTGGCTTTGGGTTTGGGGACTCCACCCCAAGGGTGTAGGGTTCATTGACTTAGAACGACCCGGAACCCTCCCCTACGATTTGCTTAAGAATCCGAAAGCATGATAAGAATCTCTTTATTGCTCTTAGAAGGAGGAATATGTTCGTTTCTTCTTTCTTTTTGGGGGTAAGCAAATAGTAGTCCCGAAAGCCTAAACTGTGTGCTTTTCGAGACTCTGAGAGTTCTGTCAGGATTCGACCCGCTGAGAGGCAGCAATGAAACCCAAAACTCCAAGCCCCCAAACCCCAAAACCCACATCCTAAGATCCAAACCCCTCAGGGTTCAGGGTTTTTAGGGTTTCGGGTTTAGGGTCAACCCCGCCCCACTGCTTCGTCCCAGAGAGGCCAAGATCCCTTCATTAGGGAGGAGGAACCCTAAACCCTAAACCCTAAACCCTAAACCCTAAACACTAAACACTACCACCCTACCACAGATTAGAGGCAGGGCTCTGAGGAACCGACTCCGCACTGGTGGCGGGTGCTCGCCCCGCGGGCGAGTCACTCTGGACTGCCCCTAGGAATTAGGGTTAGGGTTTAGGGTTTAGGGTTTAGGGTTTAGGGTTTAGGGTTTAGGGTTTAGGGTTTAGGGTTTAGGGTTTAGGGTTTAGGGTTTAGGGTTGAGGGTTGAGGGTTGAGGGTTGAGGGTTGAGGGTTGAGGGTTGAGGGTTGAGGGTTGAGGGTTGAGGTTGAGGGTTGAGGGTTGAGGGTTGAGGGTTGAGGGTTGAGGGTTGAGGGTTGAGGGTTGAGGGTTGAGGGTTGAGGGTTTAGGGTTTAGGGTTGAGGGTTAGAGTCTAACGCGGCACACACGGGACATAAACGAACCTAACATAGCCAGGGCACGCCTTCGGCTGCTTCATTTCATGGGACTTTATTTGTTGATCTGAGCCCAAACAGGGATTCGGGAACAAGTGCCTACTAGCTTCTTCATCTGGCACCTAGTGATGGGAGATGCCGCCCTGTCGAGCCAAAAACAAAGCGCGGGGCACCATACGCCATCCCATGCGGCTTCCGGGTTTCCGAGTTTCCGAGCTTCCGGGTTTCAGGGTTTCGGGGTTTGGGGTTTGGGGTTTAGGGTTTAGGGTTTAGGGTTGAGGGTTTAGGATTCAGGTTCATGGTACTTACTAACCAATTATAACTGGGCTTATAACCCTACTTAGAATTGGGATAACCCCTAGAAGGCCCTTTAGGGGTATTATAAGTAGGGTTAGAAGTACAGTTATAATTGGTTAGTAAGTACCATGAACCTTCAAGTACTCATGGGTTCCCCTACTACACCCTCCTACACTACTGCACTACGCCCCCCCCCCCCCCCCCAGGCTGCCCCCCATAGATAAGGCTTTTTAGGGAGAGTGAAGCCTCATTAAGGGACTTCTATAAGGGGGGGAACCTAGGGGGGGTAGCCCTAAACCCTAAACCCTAAACCCTAAACCCGAAACCCGAAACCCTAAACCCTAAACCCTAGCGGGGTAGAGAGGGCGGGTAGAAAGGAAGCCCATGGGATTCCCAAGCAGAAACTCAAAAAACCAACAGGTTCCTGGAGCCGACTTGGCGATCTTGTAGAGCTTTTTGTTTTTGAGGTTTGCCTCTTTTATTTACGGTTTAGGGTTTAGGGTTTGGGATTTTGGGTTTGGGGTTTGGGGTTTGGGGTTTCGGGTTTGGGGTTTGGGGTTTTGGGTTTGGGGTTTGGGGTTTTGGGGTTTGGGGTTGGGGGTTGGGGGTTGGCGGTTGGGGGTTGGGGGCTTTTTGGGTTGAGGGTTTTTGGGTTGAGGGGTTGAGGGGGTTATAGGGCTTGGACCTGAGGTTGAGGGTTGTTGGCTCTTGCTTTTAGACGAATCCCGCAACAGACTCCCCCATGACCCTTCTTACGTGCAGGGCCCCCTAACCGGCCTACACCCTACACCCTAAACCCTAAACCCTACACCCTGAACCCTAAACCCTAAACCCTAAACCCTAAACCCTAAACCCGGAAGGAAAAGGGCGGAGGTGGGAGGCCTGCGGCTGCCGTGGCGACCGAGGAGTCGACGAGATTGAGATGGGGCCTGCAGGGGTTTAGGGTTTAGGGTTTCGGGTTCAGGGTTTAGGGTTTAGGGTTTAGGGTTTAGGGTTTAGGGTTTAGGGTTTCGGGTTTCGGGTTTGGGTTTAGGAGTCTGGGGCTTAGGGTTCTCAGTTGAAGCGAAATTAGGGAACAGGACTCAAAGTGTCTGGCAACTTTAAGCTTAGGGTCTGAAGATGGGCGAACAAGGTCCTAGATCTAGGGTTTCGGGTTTAGGGCTTGGGGTTTAGGATTTAGGGTTTGAGAGGGTTTGGGGTTTAGGGTTTAGGGTTTCGGGTTTCGGGTTTTGAAGTTGAGGAAGCCCCCTGTAGCGGAGCTTTGTGCCTGGCAGTCTGCGTTTTCGCTGGGATGGACCTTCGCCCCAGGCAAAGTGCCTCAGTGAGTGGGCCAAGGCTGAGAACGCTTTAGGCTTTAGGCTTCACCCCCTAAGCCCTGAGCTCTGAGCTTTGAGCCCTAAGCCCTAAGCCCGAAGCCCTAAGCCCTAAGCCCTAAGCCAAACCTTCAGCGCTTTAGGGCTCTAGCCTTTAGGGCGTTAGGCACTCAGGGTTCAGGTTTTTAGAGCTCTTTGGCACAGGGCTGCACGTGCCAGGGCCGCTAGGGTGTCCCCCCCTTGCACCTTCCGACTGTGTCTTGCCATGTCGTCCCCGAGGCCTCATTCTGACTTTCCGACACATCCAGCATGGACACAGGTGAGGGATATGTTTACGTTCGCCAGGGATAATGCCAATCTGCAGGATGGATGCGTTGCCTGTTTTGATTTGGACCTGCTGGGCTCCCCCGTGGATGCTGGTGATGGCATGCTGTTGCGGGCCCGCGTTGTCCAAACAGCCCACGTCTGGTGCACGAACAGCCAAGCTGCAAATGTTGAGATAGCTGTTGATGACCGGAAGGTGTTGCTACGCCTCCGACGATGTGATTATTACGCAGTGGCTCAGCATGCTTCCAAAGTCCGTGTTGCGTGGGTTGTTGCAAGGCCCTCCCCTGGGGCAGTGATCCTTGATGCCACTGTTGGACACGCCTTTGTCATTGCGAATTGTGTGGTGCGACAGGACAGCACAGTGCATGTTGCAGAGGTCTTTAGTGGGGGTTTCTGCGGATGGTCCCAAGCAGCATGGCGCATGAGTGAGATGGGTGTGCCCATCCGCACGTCCTGGCTTTTGGACGATGATACCAAGCTCGTTGACCCAGAAAGCCTGGTGAATGCCTGCCTTCAGGACTGCACCCGCAGTGGCCGGGCCTCATTCCTGAAGGTCACACACGCATGGCAGCTTGACCACCTTGATCGGGTTGAAGTCTTGATGGCCCGTGAGGCCCTGCGTGCCGAGATTGACTTTGGCCTTTGCAGGTCCCCGTGTGCCATGCATCGCTTGCAAGTCTTTGCGCCACCCCCGGATGACGCAGAGCCCACTCTTACAGTGTCGTTCTCCATTCTGCTCAGAGTTGACCAAGTGCTTGATGCTTTAGGGTTCGACGTGCAGTGCCCGGGCATCCAGGTTGCTGAGGCCTGTTTCCCGGCCATCCCCGTGCAGGCGTGCCGCACTGGCCGTCCCTTGTCTTGTGTCGGTGCTGTGTACCAAGTCACCCAGGCTAGCCCTAAGTTCCCCCATGTAGACCTTGACACGCGACCGCGCCCTAATGCTAAGGTTTTAGTTGTAGCCTCCCCCCAGGGTCTTGCATGCCTGATGCGCGACAGCAGTGATGTCTTTGCACAACTAAGGGCTGTTCTTCAGCCGGAGCATCCCCAGCTGACGGGTGCACAGGTTTTTACTGACGTACATGGCCGAATCCTGCACAGACTTTCAGACATGCCCACCTGCGTGTGCCTTCTCCCTGCGAGTGAGCCTTTGCTTCCTGGCTTGCCGGCGTTGTCAGGCAATGAGGTGTGTGCGGCCCTGTTGACCAACCGCCAGGCGCCTTACCACTTTGCGATCCCAGCTGGTGCTGCCACAGCGTGGTACGCGCGCTTCCCCACAGTCCTGCTTGAGCGCCTCGGATGGGACAGTGAGTTTGGACCGCTCCCAAACGCCGCAGGGGAGCAGCTGCATCTGACCATCCGTGCCAGTAAGCGCCCCTTGCTGGTGCCTCTTGCCGGCATGCTGGACTACCTTCGCTGCACTCTCTTCCTGGGACAGCTGCGCATGCTCGTGCAAACATCCACGGGAGCAACTGTGATGACTGAACTTCAAGTCAATGCCCACACGGTGTCAGTACTTGCCTTGCCTGCTACCATGCCTACTGCAGCCATTGCCCAATGCTGGGAGAATGCATCGTATTGCTTGGCCTTGGGCCCGGGGGTCCGTGTCTTCTCGGGGCCCTTCCCTCTACCAATCGACGCCGTGCTCGGCCATATCTCTGGTCAGGCGTTGCACCGTGCCGGGGGTGGACCACTTGTGCTTAGCGTGATGCCTGAGGTCCGAGGAGGAGGAGCCAAGGACGCTAACGTCCAATTAGCTAAGACCCGCCTTGCCACGGTTTTGCTTGATAGGGGTATAGACCTGCACGCTGCGGCTGTCGCAGTGGATAAGCTGATAGGAGCCAGGGGAGCAGCTGCGTGCCTCCAACAGGTCCAGGCCACTGACTTGCACCAGCGCTGGGAGGCCTTGACAGCGTTTGCGGCAGGGGCAGGCGTTACACTCCCGGAAGGAGACAATCGAGCCACGAAGGCGGCAGTCCGCATCCAGCGGGCTGTCCAAAGACGCAAGCTCCACAATCTGCCTACACCCGGTGCCAAGGACTTCTACATAGCCCCGGACATTTGGTGCGGTGTGGACGGCAACCCCGTCCCCATCATCCGATCCATCAGCCAAGGTGCCAGTGGGGTGATCCTGATGGACGCCGCACAAGCACGCAAGGAGGACCTGGCCCTGCTCCGTGAGATGAAAGCAGATAGCCTGTGCGTGCTGGTGCTTGGCCATGAATGCCCTGAGCCGGACCGCTGCGCCGGCAAAGTGAGCGTGTCTGCTACACATGCCACCTCCCAGGAGCCTCATTTGCTTGCCGCCTGCATGCACAACGTGGGCACCACGGAAGTTAGGCCAAAGTACAAACAACAGGCCACTGTAACTGTAGAGGGGATGACGTGTTGCTCCTTCAGCATGTACAGGGATGACTTAGCCGACGGTCAGGATTGGCAGACCATTGCCAAGCAACCAGTCCGGGAGGCGCAGCAAGCCTTCACAGCACCAGGGCAGGACCGCATCCTTGTTCACCCCTGGGGCCGCTCTTTTCGTGCTGATGGCAAGGCCTCTCTGCCGCAGGCGTCCGACTCCATCCAGTTTCATGCCAAGGTACCAGATGCTCAACTCCCCGCTGTCTTGCGCAAAAGTGGCTTCAACCATGTGTACGTGCTGCCAAAAAGCTGGGAGGACTCCAGGCCGCTCCCGGAATGGGCCATTGTCTGGCTGCCTGGTGGCCGGAGCGAGGCAGAGAGGCTAGCACTTTTGGTCCCCCACCAACATGGGCTTGTGCGAGGTCGCAATCGCTATGGCCTGCGTGTGCCAGCTGCCGAGTTCTCGGCAACCTTCAAACAACTGCGACCTGCCGACACCGTGCCAGAAAATATCCAAGTCCGCCTCTTGTTTAAGGTAGGCCCGCTACCAGCCAAAGCTTCCCAGGAGGAGTTGGCTCAATGGGCAGGCAAGCTAGGCTGGAAGGTGAAGGTGTTGAAAATGTTGGGGCCAGCGCACTGGCTAGTTGGCTCAGCCTCCTCACCACCAACCACACTGCCTACGTTCAATGACTGCCCAGTGCTCATAGCGGCAGTCCCTTCACGTGCGGCTGCCAAACCAGTCGTGCAAGCTGGACGATTGCCAGACCTGCCTGCCTCTGCTCCTGCAACATCCTCGCAGACTTTCGCTGGCGACGCCTCACACCCAACGGACCCTTGGGGCGCTTACCTGCAGCAGCAAGGCCGCGCCATCCGTCCGCCGCAACAGCCTACCAGCCTGAAGGCCAATCCTGGGGAGGTTCAATTGCAGGCGCAGGTCTCAGGTCAGGATAAGCGCATAGCTGCACTGGAGCTCGGCATGGCCAGGTTGCAATCGGCAGTCGAGACTGAGTCCAAGCACAGAGCCCATGACCAGCAACAACACCAGGAGGACATGACAGCTGTGCGAGGAGAACTGCAACAGCTCGGGGCTAGCCTGAGTGCGCAGTTCCAACATAGTCTTGAGTCCCTGCAGGCAGCCCAACGCCAGCAGGAATCCCAAATGCAGACAGGCCTGAATGAGCTCAAGCAGCTCATCCTTGCCCAGAGCGAGAACAAGCGCCCGCGCACGGGCGGTGCTGGGGATGCCCTCTGACTACTACTGGGGTGGGGTCGTTGGGTGCGTGCTGGCACCAATGGCCCTCAAAAGGGGTCCCTAGACAACATTGACCTTGACCCCTGTTCCTCCAGCACATGCCCCACAGCCGGCATTCACCACTCTGACAGGGCCTACCCCGGGCATCTTGGTATGCATGTGGCCTGGTTTGTGCCCCTCCCTTTTTGCTTTGGTTTTGTGGCTTTCTTGGCCTTGCTACACACCTTTCCCACAAGGGAATGTGCCACTTCTGGCCCAAGTCCGGGTTTTGGAGCCCGGCATGGAAACCTGGGCCTGATGTGGGCTTTTCCTTGCATTTCGCATTGCAGTAATGGTGCCTGGTCACCCTCTGTCAACAGTTTCCGTGACCCTTTTGAAAGCCCCAGCTGCTCGCTGACTTCCGTCTGGTTGGTGATTGCTGACGCTTCTAGATGGTGCGGGTGGCCTACACATGGCCTGCGCATCGGTGAGGCCTCCCATCCAGGTCCGGCCCAGCAACTTCTCCTCTCCACGTTCTTTCCGCAGACAACCTGCCCAACAAGGCCCACTCCTCCGCCCCGCCGCCGACCACGTCCGCCGACACCAGGCCACATCTGCGACATTGCTGTGCTGAATCCCACGTCCATTCTGCACAAAGCCGCCCTTGTAAGCCGCGTTGGTGCCCACATCCTGTGCGTGTCGGAAACCTCCGCGGTTGCTAGAGCTCAGCAGATTGAGGGAGTGGCCCTTCGACGCCAGGGGTACACCTCCAGATGGGGGCACCCGGTCGCCCCCCACACCCGTGACGGTCAGGCGCACGACACGCTTCGGGGAATGGCCAGCGGGGTTGCCATCCTTAGCACCCTCCCATCCAGACCGTCTGTGACACCGCTGCCCGCTGAGCCTTACCAGGCGGGCAGATTGTGTGAAAGTTTCATTCGGATTGGGGCCATGGAGGTTCGATTCTTGGCGGTCTACGGCACGCCGGCGAATAATCCCAAGGCACGTGAGCTGAACCAGACCTTGCTGCAGACTGCTTTCGACCGTGCCACTGCTAATCGTATCCCGTGCGTGATTGCGGGGGATTTTAATACTGACCCGCTTGCCCTCCCGGCCGGTGAGCTCTTCCGGGCGCGAGGGTACCGCGAGGCTTTTGAGCTGGCCTACGCCCAGACGGGACTGGAGCTACCGCCAACATGCAAAGGTGCCACACGACATGACACCATGTTGCTGCACCCTGCCTTGGTGGCGCTGTGGGATAGTGCCTCTGTCCTTGTGCACTGTCACCTGTTTGATGCCCATGCGCCTCTCGTTGTGCGACTACACACACCCCAGCAGCTGCCTTGCCTTCATCGCTGGACGTTGCCAAAGCCATGGGCCCAGTACAATCCTGACCCTGCCCTTCTTGCCAGTCAATGTGAGACCCGGTGTCCTGCCGTGATCGCGCAGGCTGAGCGATGCCAAACGGTTGATGACGTTGACAAATGCTTCCGGTCCTGGTCCCAGACCATCGAGCATGCTGTGGACGCCTGCCTTAGCCGCCAGCACAGTGAGGACCCCATTGCGCAGCCGCAGCCCGGCCTCTTGCCAAAGGAGTGTGGACGTTGCATGCCGCGGACCTTGACCCCGTGCCCCATGCCACAGCTCTTCCGCCAAGCGCGGGATGGGGATTACCAGCCTGACCAGGAGGCCACGTCCTATTTGAGCCAGAAGCGCGTTAAACAAGTACGTCGCGTGCAGACCCTGCTCCGCACTACCCAGGCTTTCACCCGTGGCGGTCGCTCGCCTGACCTCAGCCAGCAAACCGAGCTTGACCAGCAATGGCGTGCCATACTCAGAGGCAAGGGGTATGGTATGCCTTTCGGCCATTGGTTACTGGGGATTGCTATCTTCCCGCTTGTCCCCGTTAGCCCACCAAGCCAGGAGTGGCTCACCACCTGCCTTGCATACCTGCAGCATGACTGCAGGGCCCTTGTGCGTCAGGAGGCTAAACGCAGGCATGACTTGTTCAAGTACCGGCTGGAAATGGATAGGAAGCACGGTTCCTCCACCCAGGGGTTCGCGGCCATGCGACCGGACCAACATCCCCCAATCACGTGCGTCCAAGCCCCCATTGCCTGCAAAGCTGTCTTTCACCAGCAGATAGGACCGCAGACGTACCGCTACAAGCTGGATGCTGGGGTGCACCTTGAGCCTTGGCAGGATTTTCTAGTCTACAATCAGCGCTGCGCTGGCAGGGCCCAACAGGACGGCTTTGTCGACTTTGAGTGCGAACACAAACCCCCCTGTGAGGTCCAGGTGCAGCAGGAGAAATTTGCTACCGCACCCCATGAACTAACTGCGGCCTTCACTGCCTTCTGGGGGCCCCTCTGGCAGCGGGATAGCCCTGACCAAGCTGCATCTCTACACGAGTGGCCCGCGTTCACCAGGCTGATTGAGCGCTTTGGGCCTGCCCTCCCTGCCATTGACGTGCGTCTTGATCGGGTTGAGTTGTGGCAGGAGGTCCTCCGTGACATGCCGGCCCGTAAGGCTACCGGCGTCTGTGGCTGGGCGCCGGCTGAGCTTAAACAGCTTCCAACACCTGCCATTGCGGCCCTTACCAAGGTGTTTGCCGCGGCCGTGCGTTGTGGCATGCCTGCGCATCTCATGCAGGCTAGGGTGTGCGTCCTTGCCAAGGTCCAGGCACCCACCTCTATGCGACAGAGCCGACCCATACTTGTCCTGAGCACGCTCTATAGACTGTGGTCTTCAGTCCTCACACGTCAGGTCTTGTCTGAGTACGGTCGCCGCTTCTCCAGGGCGGTTATGGGTTCACTGCCAGGGCGCTCCGCCCCTGACCTCTACATCTGCCAGCAACACGCCATCGAGGTTGCCAAGATGAGCAATGACCCACTCCTTGGCGCCAGCATAGACATTGTGAAGTGTTTCAACCAACTTCCGTGGCCGCCTCTAAGATTCCTGCTGTGTCATACCGGCTGCCCTGCCCACCTTGTTGACTTCTGGCAGGATTGCTTGCGCCGCCTCAGCCGCCACCCTGCCCTGGGTGGTACTTTGGGGCCTGGTGTGCACTCTTGTAATGGTGCCCCGGAAGGTGACCCCTTCTCTGTGGCTGCCATGGCAGCAGTTTGCCATGCGGTTGATTGCCTCCTCGGTGCCGTTGCCGCCCACATCCACACATACGTTGACAACTGGTCCTGGCATGCCTCCACGCCGGATGCCTTCAGTATTGCCACACAAGAGGTCCTGGCTTTCTTGACAGCAGTGAAACTTCCTGTCGATTGGCTCAAATCCTACGGGTGGGCCACCAAGGGGTCCCTCCGTACCTGGCTGACTACCACATGGCAGGCGTGTTTCCCTGAGGGTGTTGAGGTCCCTGTTGTCACCAGCGCAAAAGAACTGGGGGCCGCTTACCAGTTTGACCGCCGCAACCATGCTCAGGTGCGACGTGACAAGAAGGAGGCTGGCATGGCGCGTCTGCGCCGGCTTGAAAAGCAGGAGCGGCCTCTGCTGAACAAGGCCCACTTGATCCAGACGAGCGTCTGGCCGTCTTGCATGTTCGGCACCGAGGGCGCCTGCTTCAGCAAGAAGGACTTCGCTGACCTGCGAGGCCTGGCCGCCGCTGCACTCGTTGGGCCCTGCCGTGCGAAGTCCCCTTACCTTGCCCTGACGTGCCTTCATGACGCACTGCAGGACCCGGAGCACTACGCGCTTGAGCAACAAGTTCAGGCCCTACGCCGGCTGATGCAGGTTGATACGAGTACTGCCACTTCCATGCTTGCTGTCGCAACTGCAACAGAGCCCGCCCAGGTCTCCGTTCAAGGGCCAGCCACTGCCTTGGTCCGCGCACTTGCGGCCGTTAACCTACGCATAGACCTTGACGGAGTCATCAAGTGTCCGGACAACACCAGGATACGGCTCTGGACAGCCAACCGGTATGAGGTCCGCCAGGGACTTGCCCGTGCCTGGAACCACCACGTTGAGCACCAGGTAGCTCACCGCAAGGGTCTGCATGCTGCCGGCACACCCATGCCCACCGAAACTGCGGCCATTCTTCGCCGCTTCACCGCCACGGAGGTCGCCGTTGTGTCCAAGTACATCACCGGGGCCTTTTACTCAGGCATGACCAAACAAAAGTGGGACCCAGCCAATCCTGCTGCTTGCCCGCTATGTGGTAGACCTGACCACAAAGCACATCGGCTACTGGAGTGCACAGCCTTGAGTGAGGTACGTGAGCCCTGGCTGCCATGGATTCACCCGATCCTGGAAGAGTGGCCCCACTGGACACACGGACCATACGCCGTCCAGCCCCCTTCGGTTGAGGTTCCTAGGTTAGTCTTTGCCACCCGTAAGTTGGTTCCCCCACAAAATGCACCTGCCCTTGCCTCCGTGCAACGCCTACCTACTTTGCGGCTCTTCACTGATGGCTCCTGCAGGCACCCAACCACCCCTATCGCGAGCCATGCTGGCTATGGGGTTGTCATGGACACGGCCCAGGGTGAGCATGACCAAAGACACCGCATTGAAGCTTGGAGGGTAGGAGCACCTGTCCTTAGCCTTTTCTCGGTTGTTGATAGGGGTTTAGTACCAGGGGTTCAGACCATCACCCGTGCTGAGTTGTGCGCCCTCGTACAAGCGCTGCGCTTTGCCCGCGTGAGTGGCCACGCAGACGTGCACATTTTCACTGATAGTCAGGTTGCCCTTAGTGAGGTTCGTAGGGTTGTAGCAGGGGGTAGCCCACACTTTCCTGAGTTCGCTGAGGCCATCCGAGAAGCATGGTCCCTGGCTGTGACACTCCGCAAAATTAAAGCCCACCGGGATCTTGATAGCTTGCAGGGTCAGGAACTGTGGGATGCGTTGGGCAATGCAAGCGCGGATGCTGCAGCAAAAGCTGCAGTTCGAGCCGACATGCAGCTTGTCAGCACCATGGTGGACCAAGTTGCTGAGTGGGTCACCCGACAGCGTGATGCGTTGCTCCTGTACTACCGCTTCGTGCTGGCCATATCTGGCGAGGACAACAGGCTACGGACGCAGGCTGGTCAGCGTGCCCAGTCACTAGAGCCGGTCCTTGACACTGAGGTCCCGACAGAGACAACGCGACAGTGGGAGGAATGGAAGGCCCTAGGACGTGACCACAGCATCCGTTGGGGAGTGCCGCCTTTTCAGCGTGACTGGCTCCTGTGTCAAGAATGGCCACCGTGGTTTACAGTTCCTGTTTGGGAGTGGCTTCGAAAACTCCGTTGGGCAAATGCCGCGCAGGGAACCCTGACCACTGGAATCACCTACACAGAGCTGCTGGTGCATTTTGTCTGCAGTACAGGTCAGTGTCCGCCTGTGCGGACCCAGGCCGTCGACGGTCCCAAGTACATGGACGCCAGCACTGGGGGCATGCTGGTGCACAACACGCCTCTGCGGGAATGGACGTTGGCATTGGTGACATGCTGCCGCTGTTTGGAGCGCGTCTCCGGACAGCGCCTACTGCCACATAAGCGCCGAAAAGTGTACTCGCTTCGCCTCGTTGGTATCCCCCAGCCGCGTAGTGGACTGCAACAACGACCCTGCACTGACGTGGTGCCAGACATGGCAGAGCTGCTCCGACAAGTGCTGATGGGCCACAGTGTAGGTCCACTAGTCAGTTATTGCATATCTTATACGGGCCCCATTTTCGTGCCCCCTAGAGACCTGAGCAATGCTTGGAATGAGTCGAGTTCTCAAACGAGACACGACATGGGCAGGTGGCTCCGTAGAATTCGAGGCTAACTTTTCACCAGGACCAAGGACAAGATGGCACGCAGCCGCTTCTGCAGGCGCGTGCTTCCTCTTCAGGAGAGTGTGAGGTTCAGGTTTTTAGGGCTCCCTCAGTTCGAGTGAGTGTGCAGGGGGGCACAAGGTGCATAACCTGCTTGACTTTCAACGAGCGCTACACCCCAGTCCCCTCAGCCCCAAAGTGTAAACCCTGAGCCACAAATCGTAAACCCCAAAGCCCAAAGGTTTAGGGTGTAGAGTCTACTTGGAGGTTCATGGTACTTACAAGCCCAGTTAGAACTGTTTATAACCCAGATGTAACCATTTTAGGGCACTTAAGGGGCTTATACGTGGGTGATAAGTATAGCTATAACTGGGCTATAAGTACCATGAACCTCCAAGTAGGGCTTAGGATGCAGCACCCTCAGCCCAAAACCCACACCCTTTGTGCTCGGCACGCCGCCCGATCTTTCCGACGGAGGCAGGGGGCGGCAAAGGCTGTCTCTGTGGGACCTGCAGGAGGCCGGAAGAACTTTAGGGTTTTTTAGGGTTTAGGGTTTTAGGGTTTAGGGTTTAGGGTTTGGGGTTTAGGGTTTAGAGTTTCGAGTTTAGGGTGGTTTAGTCAGGGATTTCATGGAGGTTCAGGGGCTTGGGGGTTTAAAGACGAGGGTGCCAACTGTGGATCGGAGGTTGAGGCTTAGGGTAAAGCAAAAGGTATGTCTAGGAAACGACGTTTATGAGTTTGACGCCTTAGCCACTAGACCAATGGCGCTGGCCTCACCCCCCCCCCACCGGCCTAGGCCGAGCCTTAAGGACTAGGCCCAACGCTAAAGGGAATCAAATGTGTGCCCTTTGGGTTTCAAGGGGCCCATAAGGGAACCTAGACCCAAACAAAAAGGAGGCATACTCTGGGCCCTATTTTAGGGCTTCCTGCACCCTGACAAGCGAAACCCGTCAACTCCTAAATCATGGGTTCTCCTGCTGCCCCCCAGCCCGGTTAAGGCTATTTAAGGGGGCAAGTAGGGAAAGCCATGATGACCAAACCTTCGACATGCACACATCCTTCCTCGCAAAACCCACCGCGCTGGCATGCCAGCCCCCCCCCCCCCCCCCCCCCATCCGGCCGAAGTCGCGCGTAGCTCCACTGGAGAGGGAGTTTCGGCCAACCCTCAGGAAAGCTAGGGCTTCGGGGCGTTTAGGGTCTAGGCTTCGGCCAAAAAGAGCAAGAGTACCAAGAGCACTGGCTAAATCACACAGTCATGGCAACCGGAAATAACTGAAACTCGCCTCGGGTGAGCTCGCTAACTTACACAAATTAGGTTGCGAGAACAGCTTGACCGGCTGCTACTGGAAGGCTTTGCATGAAAACTCTAGCCTCAAACTCCCAAAACCCCAAAGCTCCCCAAAAACCCGAAACTCTAAACCCCCTTAGTACCCAATTTCAAAACATTCCCCTAAACCCCGAACCCTGAAACCCTAAAGCCCCAAAAGCCCTAAAACCCTCCTAAAGCTCGCAAACCCCGAAACCCTAAACCCTAAACCCTATAAACCCCAAACCCTACAACCCTAAAGCCCTAAAAGCCCAAAAAGCCCAAAAAAACCAAAAAGCCCAAAAGCCCAAAAAGCCCAAAAAGCCCAAAAAGCCCAAAAAGCCCAAAAAGCCCAAAAAGCCCAAAAAGCCCAAAAAGCCCAAAAAGCCCAAAAAGCCCAAAAAGCCCAAAAAGCCCTAAGACCAAGGCCCCGGCAGGGCTCTGGCTCAAACTGCGGCGCCGGTCTGACGAGGGCTGCTGCTGGGGTTTGGGATTTGGGGCGAGAAGAAGGGGGGGGGGGGTGTTTAGGGTGCAGGGCTTAGTGTTTTTTGCCTGAGGTTTAGGGTTTATGTTTGGGGCTTTGGCTTACGATTTCGGGGTTTCGGGGTTTCGGGGTTTCGGGGTTTCGGGGTTTTGAAGTAGCTCAGGTTTACCTCGGGCTTCTTGGGGTGAAGGGTAAAGGGTTTAGGGTTTAAGGTTCAGGGTTTCGGGTTCAGGTTTTGCCAGCAGGACCCCACATTTCGCACTACTCTGGCTGGAATTAGGTACCCCGGACTCTTACATCAACCCCTCAGCCCTAAACCCTAAACCCTAAACTCTACACCAACAACCACCGAAAAAGTCTGCTTGCGCCGAGCCCCAGACCGAATATGGACGTTGCCGAAAGGATCATCCAGCTGCCACGGACTCATCGGAAAGATGGGGAGGAGATAAGACTTTCCCACACCCCGAAACCCGAAACCCTAAACCCTAAACCCCTAAGCCCTAAACCCTAGAGCTCTTCATTGGGGCTAGCTTCTGCTGGACGTCTCAAGTCTTTTTTCCTCCGGGAGTCCCCAGTTTCGCAGCGAAGGCCTGGTTCCAGGATACATGGGTCTCTGCGTTCAGGGGGCCTTTTAGGGTTTAGGATTTAGGGTTTGGGGTTTAGGGTTTGGGGTTTCGGGTTAATGGTTTAGGGTTTGGGGTTTAGGGTTTAGGGTTTAGGGTTTAGGGTTTAGGGCTTAGGTTTCCTTATTGAAATATGTGTCAGGCCCCTCACACATGAAAGTTCACTGTGTGCCAAACACCCTGCGGGCGAAAGATTGAAGGTTTTGGGTTTTGGGTTTAGGGATTAGGTTCCAGGGATTGGTGTCGAGGTTTTTGGTTGCAAGGTCCAGGACGCAGGTGCAGGCTCTCGTGCCTAGGGGAAGAACGTGGGAGTGGAAGGTCACTTGTATTTCCGGGTACTGTAAAGAACCCGTAGCTTCTGATAGCTAGTTGAGGGTGGCTCTTGCCCGGAGGGCCCAATCGGAATATTTCTTTAAACCATATTAAGGATCCCTCTACAATTTAAGGTACATTGCTTAATTAAGTATTGGGCTCTCTGGGCAGGCTTCTAGGCTTAAAGCGGATCATTGGACTTTCTGATCCGGGGAAAGGGTCTAAGGGTTTAGGGTTTAGGGTTGAGGCTTTCTTGTAGCTAAGACTCGTTTGCCCTGCAACAAAACTAGAGCAAGAGCTTTCCTGTGGGTAAGCTTTTGACCCGGTATCACAAGGCCTAGAAAAAATGGGAAAACCTCAAAAGAGGAACCCAGGAAACTAGGGGGTAGATGGGCAGTTCGAAACTTCAAAGAACAAGTCGACATGCCCCTTAACCTCTAAAAGGAGAATGTACGAAAAGATTTTGCCATACCCCTTAATTTCGTTTAAGGGGTACGCCCAACAGGGGTATGTTGAATAGTTCTTAGAAAATTACGGCACCCAAGCAAGGACCATAATTCTCTGCGCCCTGCAACTACCCAGAAACCCAAAACCCCTTAATTAAGGAATATGCTTTAAATTATTAAAGGGACCCTTAATATGATTTAAGTTAAAGTTAAACGGTTTAAAAGGTATATTGCTTAATTGAGGGGTATTGGTCTCTTTGGGTATCTAGTAGTAGGGCTTAAAGGTACCAGGAGTCCAGTAGGTAAGCAGTCGGCATATCGGCACTCATGGTTACTTGGGTTTAGGGTGTCGAGTTTGGGGTTGCGGGTTTGGGGTTTGGGGGAATCATACCGAAAACCACGGGGCTTGAGACAAGATTTAGGCGCAAGTGCCAAGGACCCGAAACCGTAAACCCTCATCTACTATTTGCTGAAGAACCCTCCCAAAAGTGAGAGATAGCAGTGATCAATTAAGAATCCCTGTACTGCCTTTACAAGGCAGAACATTCTTTAGATTTGTTGGGGGGCTCTTAAGCGACTCGTACTCATGTGGGGGATTCTCTGAATTCGGGCCCTCGGGGGGTTATTACAAGGCGGCCCCTCTTCTTGAGGGTGCCCAAAAAGGGACCACTTAGATTTCCAAGGACCCTAAGCCCTAAACCCCTGCTGTAGACCCAGGAGTAACCTAGGAAAATAAAGGGCGCCCCTTTTGATCTAAAGAGGCTTAGAAGGGAACCTAAACCCTAAAACAGGAAAGATGAGTAAGGGCCTACTCCGGGTCCTGGACCCTCACGCGCTGAACATGGTTACACTGCGTCATTTGCTTGCTTGTTGCTCAAAACGCTAAACCCTAAACCCTAAACCCTAAACCCTAAACCCTAAACCCTAAACCCTAAACCCTAAACCCTAAACCCTAAACCCTAAACCCTAAACCCTAAACCCTAAACCCCACACCCACGGCCTTTTTTTCATAGTCGGGGGCCCCTCGTACAGGTCGCATACGTGTCAAGAAACTGGCGTGCAAAAGCCTGAGCCTCTGCAAAGCTAGACATGGCACCCGACACCCTGAACCCTAAACCCTAAACCCTAAACCCTAAACCCTAAACCCTAAACCCTGAACCCCAGAAATAGCAAATTTTCAGTTCAGACTGTTGGACTGGTTCGGGTTCGCTGTTCACGAGGTTCCCCCTAGTACTTCCCAAGAAGTTGAGAGGAACCCCCCCCCCTTTTGTCTAAAGCTTAGGGTGTTAGGGCGTTGGGTTTTTTGGGGTTTTGGGCTTAGGGGCTTCCCATGTTATGCTTAAAGCCTAGGGTTTTAAGGTTGTGGGGTTTTTGGTCTCAGGGTTCAGGGCTTCTTCAGCCTTAAACCAAAAATAGAAGGGGGAGAACGGGAGGTTGAAGGTTTTGGGTATCTTGGCCGCCGCAAAAAGTTAGAGGCTACCCGGTCAGCACCGAGGCTGACAGGGTTTGGGGTTTGGGGTTTAGGGGTTTAGGGGTTTAGGGTTTAGGGGTTTAGGGTCTAGGGTCTAGGGCTAGGGTCTAGGGTCTAGGGTCTAGGGTTTAGGGTTTAGGGTTTAGGGTTTAGGGCTTAGGGTTTAGGGTTTAGGGTTTAGAACCCTTTGTTCAGATGGATGGCGGCACCTTGCGAGTTCTTAGAGAAGGGAACATTTATGGGAACTTTGCTTGGCTGCACTTAGGAGGGTAGCTATAAGTTTTTTTTAGCTGCCTTCTTAAGAAACCCAATCAACCCAAAAAGGCTAAGGATCTAAAGTTACAGTAAAGCAGCACCACAGAGTTTGGT